AAATTATTGCTATTATTAAAAAATGACTTTATTGGACATGTTTGAATGAACTTTTTAAAAGTTTGAAGCTAAAACCGAAGAAACAGCACAACTCGCCATAAGAACATCAAGAAAATGAGAACTAAAAATAATACATTTTCAGGATTCCTCTTCTTCATTCCTTTCCATCCTGTTCTCAGATTTAGGGTGCCTAGGCAGAAGTTCAACTGAAGAAACTCACTGCACTTCTGCATCCACCTACGACACAGCCAATAAACTCTCACCTGCAAGAAAGCCAATCAGCATCCAAAGCTTATCTTAAAAGGCCTCTGATCAGCAACTTGCCTGCTGCCTGGTTGCGCTGTGTGACTCATTCAGATGGCCCCTCCTCCACCATCGTAGCTAAAGCTTCATCAGAGTGTCATTCCTCCCGGACTCTTACTGCATTCTGCGTCTCTTTTCAACCGGTCTGGCAGAAGAACGCCATGTTGAGCCTGGTTCTGCCAGAGGTTTCTTCCCAACGGGAAGTTTTTTCTCTCCACTGTCGCTTCATGCTTGCTCATCATGGACAGGTTCTCTCAACCTGTGTTATCCAAGCTGGACTTCCATCTTCCAGGTCCCTGAGTGAAGCTCTAGTGTCAGCTCACACAGTCCACTGGATCTCCCCATAAAGCTCAGCAGACCGTCTCTCCAACCAGCAGTCTACAGACTGACCAACTCCATCTATCTCCACTCCACCACCAGTTCCAGGCCTGGGGGGAAACAGCCCTGTTCTTTACTCCTGTTCATGCATATCTATCAAAATTCAGCGCTATGTTTCCTGCTGAGGACTGAGCACCAAAGACAAAGTAATTGTATCAATAAATTTCTTCTAATTGTCTTTTCTCTTCGTGTGAGTTTTTCAGATAGAAACATATTTGTCCTGTTGGCTCAAACATCCTTCACTCTACAAACCTGATGTGTAGAGCAGTTTTTATACCCCTGGGCGAAACACCTACAGCTGTACAGTTGCAGCTATTCAAAATGGCCCTTCCCAGACAAAAGCCGAATGGCAACAAAATCCTCTCCAAATTCTAGCCCCTGGCCTTCTCCCGGGCATGCACATTTTTTTTTGCTCTGACTCCACCCTTTCACTGAATTACAGGGTCTGACCAGGAGACTCTTTAGATCTTAATATCCACAAATCATGACAGAAAGAATATTTTAGATACTTAAAAAGGAATGGTAGGGGGCCAGCCAAGGGCCCATCGAGGAAATTTTGAATGGCTAATATTGTACGTATGTTAGCCATGAGCGAGATCACAGAGTTAGCTTTACTCTGTGAGTTTTAACCCAATAAAAAATATCTTCTGTCCTTCTACCAAAGTTGTTGGAATAAATATAATCGGCTGATCGTAGAGATAAAAAAAGGTCTTTTGCTGCATTCTGCAGAACGCAGCAATAGAGCTTTGGGGCTTCTGTTCTTTATGGAAAGAGATTTTAAGCTTCTAACATGAGTGATACATCAATCCATCAGAGACGCTCAGCTTTGCACCAATAGTTGGGGTCCTGCTATAAGAGCAGAGTCAATTGGAGTCAACTGGTTTCTATTGGTTTCTATTGAGGATCCCTTATTAGTTACAGCTTCATGCAGCTGCAGTTCTTCCTGTGCTGCAGACCATTAATCAACCATTAATTAACCATAAACACAGAAAACCGAAAACAGGTTTTAAAGTTAACAGTGTCTTTGTTCCATAAATGAAGTAAAGAAACCAATAAAGGAACCCAGGGAAAGCCAAGACTGTCAGGATCCGGGACTTTGCCCACCAGAGGGCGCCGTGGATCCAAGCCTGGGGAGCTTGGACTCAGCTTGATCCGCTGTTGCTTATCTGCTGATTAAGAAAGCTTCCTATTTAAGCTGTGTGTTAATTTCTCTCTGTGCTGGATCGTGTTGTCTTACCTGTGCCATCATGCCTGTCTGAGCCTTGAACCGGAAGATTCCTCTGAGTGCCAATAAACATTGGACTTTTTATCCTCCCTCTGTGTCTGTGAGTCTGCATATGGGCTAGTAAACCATTGCATCATGACAGAACGATCCAGCCAACAGACTAGCCCCGCAGACTCCTTCTACGCGCTACTGGGGAGCCCGCTCTGTGCCGTCTAGGAGACCCCTGAGCCCACTCTGTGCCGTCTGGGAGACCCCTGAGCTCGCTCTGTGCCGTCTAGGAGACCACTGAGCCCGCTCTGCGCCGTCTGGGAGACCCCTGAGCCCGCTCTGTGCCATCTGAGAGACCCCTGAGCCTGTTCTGCACCTTCCAGAGCCTCCGGAGGTGGAGCCACAATCGGTGGATCCCTCGGTTCCTTGAGGTGGACCCACAATCGGTGGATTCCTCTGTTCCTGAGGCGGAGCCGTATTGGGCGGACCTGTTGCAGAGCTGCGGGAGCGGAGACGGCGTCCTTCCCGGGGCTTCATGCGGAAGCGGAGACAGAGTTTCTCCCGGTGCTTCCTGCTGAAGCGGAGTTGACGCCCTCTTCCAAGGCCCTGCAGCTTTTGAGACTCTGCTCTGCTGCCGGTTTCATGGCCGGCCACCTGAGACTTTTTCTGGCATCCCTGGTTCGCCCTTCGCCCTCCATGGGCGAGTTGTTTTTTTCTTTGGGGCGTCTGGAATCCGCCCTTGAGGGGGGGGGTACTGTCAGGATCCGGGACTTTGCCCACCAGAGGGCGCCGTGGATCCAAGCCTGGGGAGCTTGGACTCAGCTTGATCAGCTGTTGCTTATCTGCTGATTAAGGAAGCTTCCTATTTAAGCTGTGTGTTAATTTCTCTCTGTGCTGGATCGTGTTGTCTTACCTGTGCCATCATGCCTGTCTGAGCCTTGAACCTGAAGATTCCTCTGAGTGCCAATAAACATTGGACTTTTTATCCTCCCTCTGTGTCTGTGAGTCTGCATATGGGCCATCGCATCATGACAAAGATGGACGCCTACAGCTCTGCTTCAGGGTCAGCTAATGTAAGACAACAGATACTTGGTAGAATGATCAACCATTAGGCCAAACAAAGTAAATCTCTGGAATTAGAAGAACACCTGGATTCTGCACATAGCACGGTACAAATGGAATGGATGGGATCTAACACATATAACAAAAAATGCTTTTCTTTTCTTTCTTCAGAGTTGTTTCCTTTGCTCTAACGATCTACCAAACTTATGGCCACTGTCTGTCTGTGTAGTTCACCTAATCTGTCTAATCACACAGATTCCACTGCAGAAACTATGTATTTATTTATTTTCTTTCATCGATGATGCTGTCAGGGTCAGGCCCTCTGTTTTGGGTTATTTTTAGTTTCTTTGTAATTTTTGTATCTTTTTAGATGTTTCTAGCTGTGAGTTTCTGAGTTGCTCTCTGTCGCCCTCTTGTGCTCATTTCCTTTCCCCTTGGCTTCCTTCTAGTTAGTTCTCTCCACACCTGCTCCATATTCAGCTCATTAGTCCATCTTTTGTTCTGTTCCCCTTATATACACCACCTCTGCAGTCACTCAGTGCTGGTTCTTGGTTGTTTTGTTACTCTGTCGTTTCCTGGCTCCTCATGTGTGTTTTTCCCTGAAGTTCTCCTAGATTTTGGTTTTCAGTATATTTGATTTTTGGATTTTTGCCTCAGTTGTCTGTGGAAACGTAATAAATCTTAGGCTGCGTTCACACTGCATTCCTTGATGCTCAATTACAATATTTTTTGTGAAATCCGATTTTTTTGCATAGCTGTTCACATTTCCAAATATATGTGACTTGTATGTGATCTCCTGTGTGAACTGCATTCATACAACCTAAGTGTCCCGCATGCACAGTAGAGGACGCAATGACGTCACAAGCAAGCGTGCTTCGTATTTACGGAAATAAACATGGATGGTAGTGCTGGAGAATATCTAGTGATCTTTCCCAACCTTAAAAACTAAATCTTTCCAAGATGGTTAAACTTAAATACTGCTCTCACATTATCGTCCACCATTGTTGTTGTTTTTCTTGCCCTTTCTTCATAGCAAGAAGCAGAATAGTGACCTTTTTCAGGTATTAATGACGTTCAGGTCGGATGAACGCGGCGTGGCTGTTCAGACACAGGTCGCATTTGAAACTATCAGATTCGTATCCGATTCAGGACCACATAGCCAAGTGTTCTGGGTCGCATGGGGAAAAAATCGGATCTGTGTTGTTCAGACTGCCATGAAAAGATCAGATCCAGGTCAAACATGGGCAAAAAAATGTGATTTGGGTCACTTCAGGCTGCGAGGGAACGTAGCCTTTGTGATGGTTTATTGAGGCATCATGAAGCCAAACTGTATTGCTGCTGCGACCGGCTGGACAGATTTGATGACCCAGTACATGATATCATTGAAGTTATTGTCGTCTACATTGCATTATTTCATATCTATGTTAAAATTGAAAATATCTTTGATATTTTTAGATGCAGCCAATAAATATTGTAAACATTTATCACAAGGTGAACATTTATGGGAAAATGTGAATGAGGATGATTGTGGACTAGGATTTTAAATCATATTTTTAAAACAATAAGTGCAGTAAAAACAGTAAATAAACTAAGAATAAATTTGAAATGAACTTTAATTCAGATAAGTTGAGTGATAACTGAGAGGAAAATGATGACACAATAAGAAAATTGAAATAAAAAGGGCTGAAACGTTCATATTCCTTTTAGGCTCCAAAATTCTGGATCATTTTAACGATAAACCACAAAACATTAGGCATTATTTTTTAGCAAATGCATCATTTAAACACAGTTTAGTGAATCAGTCTGTTACAAAAAACTCCTGGATCGGTCACATAATTTTGTGGAAACACACGCTCCACACATGCAGCCACACATCAGTGTTAATGGGCCCATCACTATTAAATCTGTAACTCATCTCTACATTTGGGTCCAAAAAACCTCCACCCAACCTTGACAGATTTACAACTGGCTTTACTTGTTCTGGTTCACTTTCTGAACTAAAATTTTATAAAAATAAAGTTGTAAAAGGAAAACATTTGCTTACCGAACAAGTCCAATGGGCTGGTACTTATAGAAGACACTGTAGTTTGCCCACTCTTCGTACAAAAGCTGTTGAGATAATAGAGGAATGGGTTGCATTATTGTTGCATAAAGTCACCGTGCCCATATCCATTCCATTCACATTTCCACCAATCCAAACCCTTCTCCCTCTATTGTTTAGACAATGTACATATTAACAGAACAAAGTTTTTATTTCCTCTTCAATGAGAGCAAAGTGGAAGAGTAGTCAAACACGCGGATTAAAACAGATTCTGTTTTATTTGAGGGCTGTAGGAGTTATTTAGGGTTATAAAATGTTCCTCTTAGAGCTAATTCCATTCTTACCTTTCTGTCGTTGGGTTCAGCACTTTCCTCCTCAATAGCTCCCTAAGAAAAGAACAATGTAGTTATTGGACTAAATGACTAAATATAATGAAGCATTCAAACTGGGTGGACCACTTCATCTTTTCCAATAAGCATGTTTTCTAAACAAAAACAGGGCTTTTTTGGGGGCTACTGAATAAAACCTGGAACTCAACGCTATCTCTGATATTTTGTATTGAAAAAGCTTCCTGGATGGGAAACTTGGAAAAAAAGTCCAGTGGATTGTTTTTAATTTTCTTTTTTTGTAATGAAGCATTATTTAACCATCTGAGAGAGAAAGATTAGATCCTCATGGTAAACTCACATTAAGGATATAATTGCTTTTGCATGATTAGAAAATGTAAATTGAATGTCTTAACCTCCACTGGTTCCCCACCGCACAGCTTTGTGTATTTAGATCAGGGGTCACCAACATGGTGCCAGCGGGCACCAAGGGGCCCTCAAGGACCACAAGGGGTGCCCTTAGAGTCTTCTGAAAATAGAACAACTCAACGTGAGCTTCTTTTTTAATCAGTTATGGAACATTTCATCATTTAATCATATATGGCATTTAAGCATTTATAGAGATTTCGAAATGAAAATGTCTAAATTTAAAGAAACGATAAAGATATGTTTATAATGTATGAAGTTTAGGTGAACGTTGACCCTTGCAATTCATAGGTCAGTATTGGTAGCCCTTCCTGTGACAGAGTACCCCTGAAGTAGCCCTCAACTGTAAAAAGGTTGGTGACCGCTGATTTAGATTGAACACAGCGCTACACTTGAAAATAACACTGGTTAAACTTTTACATAGACATGTTAAACATCACTAGAAAGCTTAGATTCTGCACCATCCAACCGGCAAGTTCATTTTATGGACCCCATAAGAACCAAAGCACAATTAATAAAGATATAGCAGCATGTTAAATCAGAATTTTTAAAATAAAGCTCTGACCTCCTACCTCTGAAGCGAAAAATCCAATCTTAGATTGTTTATATTACATTTGTCCATAAGAGTCCCCGAATAAAAACTAATCCAGTGTATTTGTAATAAAAACATTCCATGAGGAGAAAATCGTCACATAAAGTCAATTTTCTTTTACCATCTCCTTCTCAGCCGCCTGCTCCTAAAGTCCGTCTGCTATTGGTTAAGTCCACAGGAAATGTTTGGATCTGTAACCGAGTGAATTACCTTTAAAACAAGGCTAAACATGGGTCATTTTAACAGTGCAGCCTGGATATATAGCCGGGCGTAAAGGCACAACGGAAGATATAAACCTGGGTCATTGCACACTGTTAGATAGTTAGAAAAATTTTTAGAAAAATTAACAAATATTTGCTTCAAAAATGTTCTGTGTCCATCAAAAGGCTCCAGTTTGGTTGTTGGGGTAAACTTGTTGTGTAAAAGCAATAAGCACAATTTGGGGCATAATTGCAGAGGCTAAATAAATATCAAAGGGGGAAACAAACAGACAAATGGCTTTGTCCATCATCAGAGAAGCTTTTATTTAACTCAGGGCTTGAAAAGTTAATCCTTAGAACAGCCTAAGAATGAGGTCCGTTCATCCTGGGGCAAAATTCCCTGAGTTATCCTTTTTGTGTAATTTGGTTTCCTGAGGAATGTCCAAACCTCCAGAATGGAGAAACTAAACATCCCAAAGGATGATTGGTTCAACACAGAAAAGCCAGCTCTAGACAGAACATCTACACCTTAGAGATCAGGTAAACCTCATGAGGGCAGTGCACCTTTCCACCCCTCCCCCGTCTACTTCATCAGTATTGGACGAATGTGAGGTTGTGTGCATCGGCATTGCTTACATCATGAAGAGGATAGGCTGCTGTATAAATCCCACTACCAAGGAGACTGGTGATTCCTGTCAGGGAAAAACAAAAACAAGATCACATGAAAAGAATCACACATCTCTGACCTTCGTTGTTCTTATAATAAAATCCGTTTAACTTATGGTTATGAAAAAAGTAAGTAAGAGCAACAGAGCAGCTTCAACACTACGGAGAGAATATCAGCCTAAACAGTTTACTGCAGAAGACAAGAACATGGAAAGATAACGATATAACTCCTGAAATCCAAAAAGGAATTATAGCAAACTATCAGTAATGTATTTACACCTGTCTGTGTTACATTTACTGTCATGATCTTGGCACTGATTAATGGCTTAATTACTCATTCCATTCACCTGGCTAACTCTGCCCAGTTTCTCATTACTGCTCATCGGATTCACCTGCTCCTGCCTCTATTCAAGTTGCTCGCATCCAGTCATCAGGTCCAGAGTATTCTTGTTAGTCTTTCTGATTACCTGAGTCTGACCTGTTCTGCCTCTCCACTGCTGATCTGTTTGCCTGACTTGGCTTCGGACTCTTGCATGTTCTCTGGGACACTCTGGGCAGCGCCCACCTCATCTTGTTGGCAGCCCACTGGCTGGATCCTACCTCATTCTCTGATTATGGACTGAACTTGTAATCCAGAGTTTCCTGCCTCAGACGCTCAGGCCGCTGCCATTGCAGACCCCCTGTCCCATAGTTTTAATAAACACCTTCTGAATAATCCGTCTGTCTTGTCTGAATACTGGGTACTCTGATCTGAGTCATGACATTTACAGCACCATCTATTTTCAAAAAAAATCTATACAGGCCAAATTAATGTCAAAAGAATTGAACCAAATGACAACTAAAAAGCCACTGCATATTATTAAGGTTTACATCACAAACAGGTGAACTTTAAAAGGACTAAAGGGAAGCTAATGTTACAGAAAAACCTAGAATAAATCACTTTGGCAGTTTGGAGCATGCAATGTAGGGAAGCTGGAAAAAAAGGTGTTCTGATCAGATGAGAGTGAACTTCAACTTTCTTGCAAACCAGGAAGTTATTGAGCAGAATTAATTAGTTTTCATCTCTGCTGTTTTAGTCCTGTGAACACCATGAGGGCCACTTCGCTATGTTGCTGTATTCTACTTTTAACTATATTTTTTTTAAACCCATCTAGGGACAAGTGCTCTGAATTAGCTTCACTTTATGATACAAACATCAGGCTTCACAACAGTTTATCTATGTTGCTGTGTCAGTCCCTATCAAGTAAACAAAAGAAATGATTAGATGGATGGAGCTAAATGATCTCTCGCTGTGGTTCACTTTTGCTTTTTGGCCTTTTCCGTGTGAGTAATGAACATTTGAACAGAAGGGGAAATTTATTGGTTCTCAGTGGAAGCTGGTAGGTAGGGGTTCGCCATCATGTCTCTCCCATTAGAACTGGGAGCTCAACGGATGAAGCTTTTGGTTTTCTGTGTTTGATCTTATCATTGAAAGGAGCGGATTGGTCTGTTAATTTTGGCCTTAGGGACTGACATTTAAAGTTTCCCAATCATGGCTCTTTGTATGTGCTGCAGGTGGTTTTCCACTGTTATTATTTCATTCAGTGCTTCTTCTGTTGGAACACATCATTACTGTTCAGTAGGAAGCATCAAACACTTAATAGAACTTACATCACTGCTGACATGCTGGTATGCATTCAATCATGATCCTGCTGCTTAAACTTAATACAGTTTTCTGGTCTTTTTTGTTCCGTTCAAATTTAAGTGTTTCAGTTACACTTTGATTCATGTCATTCAGTGTTTTCTTGGTCATTGGTTTCTTTTCCATTTTGTGCGATCATAGTTCTAGTTATATTGGTGTTATATTGGTGTGATTCTAGTTATATTTCACCTGTGTTGTTTTTTTTGAGTTACTCTGTCTCCCCTTTGTGCCAGTCTACTCTCCCCAGGCTCCCTTCTAGTTGCTTCTATTCACACCTGCTCCCTATCAGCTGATTAGCCCATTCTTTTTTCTGTCTCCCATATATACACCTCCTGTTCAGTTCCTCATTGCAAATGGAAAGGAGACTGGCACAAGGGGGAGACAAAGTAACTCAAAAAAATACAACACACCTTGAATATAACTAGAAAACAACTAGAATCACACAAAATGTAAAAGAAACCAATGACATAAATCACAGTTTAACAGAAAACTCAAAAATTTAACTTAAACTTAAAGAACCAAAAAGTCCAGAAAGGGGAGAATCACGACACTTTTGGGAGTTTGATTAAGAACCTGTTCATTTAAGCAGAAACCTCTGACTGTCCCAGGAGATATTTAAACCTGAGCCTTGTTACTATCTTTGCTTCTGTGGCCCCAGGAAACTGGGCTGATGGTATCAATGTCTTTCATCCTACATTGATTTGAAACATAACCGATTATAATAAACAAAAAAAAAGAAAAACATGCATCTTCAGTTTTTTATTTACATTGAATTTCTACAATAAAGACAAGATCATGCCATAGTGTTGGGGCTATGGAGTAGAAGAAGTAGGTTCAGACTCACCCATGCTGTAGTTAGCCTTGAATTTGGTTCGTTTTAATATTTCATACACCTAATAAAGAATAAACAAAGTTATTGGCATGGTGTCAACAGAAAAACATTTACATGCAGGTGTCTACCTGGCAGGGCTTGGTTCAACATACGGCTAAAGGAATTATGTTATCCAGAACCTTTATCACATTTCTACAGTGTTTTTGTTTTGTTTGTATTATTTAGTTAAAAATAGCTTCCTTGGTGCATTTACAGATTGACCAAAGGGGCTGGTTTTAGTCATTTAATTAAACTTGAATATTGTTCTTCAGATCATCAGTTAAAGCCAGTTAACTGACCAGTCTGGATAACCAAATGATTAACAGTTCAGCAAGTTTAACAAACCCTTTTGTTGCTTTGCATAGTTTAGTTCACGGGTAAAAGTTTGTTTCTGGAAGAACAGTCAGGTTTGGATTTATTACTGGGACTTACTATGGAACTCCTGGTTTTGCTGTCAAAGAAGTTATCTTTGTCTGAGAGGTCAAACCTGTTAACACAGAAAAATGAAAACAGATCACTTTGTCTTTTTCAGGAAGTATTAATATTATTCCAAACAAAACTCTACTTTTTAAAAAGCATAAAAGGTTTGATGTCCAAATGATCCGTTTTATGGCCACTTCATAAGACTCATCAGACTCTGCTCTGTTAGGCGTCTATCGTGATCAGTTTTCATCTGGAGGTCTCAGTATGTCGTCTGTTTTTAAAACATCCATCCATCAATTTTCTAACACGTTTATCCTGAGTGGGGTCGCGAGGGGTGCCGGTGCCCATCTACAGCAGTCATTAGGCGAGAAGCGAAGTGTTTTTAAAACATATTTATTTATATAAATATATAAAACCATTGTTTCCTGTGTCGCTCTGATCCCATAACAGGCCTTTCAACATCTTTAAGGGGAATTTTATTCACTGTGCAACAACATTTCATGTCACTGCTGTGTGGATAATCAATTAATTAATTCATTAATTCATTGTTTGTTAGAACATGTCTGGAATTCCGACTGTTCAATGATTGCCTCTAAAATGACAGTCAGCTGATTCTTTCAGTCACTGCATTTACAGACAGCAGCCAATGTAACTCTGCACAGTAACACTGACATAGCTCCACTGAGAAAACCTGGAAGCCTTTCCTGCTAAAGAAAATCTGGATCTGATGATCTGTGAACCGTTGGCCTCTAAGAGGATTTCACTGGAACTATAAATGACAGAAGCTCAACAGAACAGGTCTGATCTACACCTTTAGGCAGGATCAGAGATGGCAAAAGTACTCACTTTCTGTACTTGAGTAAAAGTACAGATACTTGTGTTAAAAAATACTCTGGTAAAAGTGGAAGTACTGATTAAACTTCTTTACTCAAGTAAAAGTAACAAAGTACAGGCTTGTAAATTTACTTAAAGTATAAAAGTAAAAGTAGAAACCACTTTCTTCATGCCGTTGCCTACATTTTAAATGGATGTCTGCCAATAGGACTAAATCTCTGTTGTGCTCATTTTCAATCATCTCGTCGTCCATACTACTATGCTAACACCACCGCCACCAAGCTGCAATGATTTGCCGCGAATGAATACCGCCGAATCTGTTGATGTAAGGAGGATGTAAAAAATGTAAGGAGTAGAAGTAAAAAGTTGCCATAAAAATAAGTAGTAAAGTAAAGTAAAAATGTCAGAAAAATCTACTTGAGTACAGTGACGAAGTATTTGTACTTCGTTACTTCCCATCTCTGGGCAGGATTAACGCTGCACAACGTCTTGCCAGATTTCTGCTCCGGTCTGCACTAGACTCATGGAAACAACTACTTTTTATCTGACTATATAGTTCAACAGCATTGACCTGTTGCTTCAAACATTACTTAATAGCTGACTTCTTTATATTTCAACAAAACCCCAAGCTTGTGCAATTCTCACAGTTCTGCCAGACAAGATGGATCCTTTGCTGCTGCTGCAGTGAGCTGTTCTGTTAATATAATATATATTATATTATATATATAATAGAGGGATTGATCACCTAGGAGATGCAGTGTTTTAGGAATTTCTGGAAGTGGTCAGATATTTATTGATCAGAAAGCAGCTTCACTTTTCCTTTTAAAGATCCATGCCTGCATAGTGTTGGTGATGGTAGTGTTGTTATGGGTTAATTGGTGCCGTAATAATTAATATATACTCTGTGGGGAAGCTGTGTTGTTTGTGATGCAAACACTAGAATGTTACAGAATGTTACACTCCTCTCCCAGCTGACATTTTGACTAGATATAAATGTTAGCTTACAGGTGCTGCTTCTCCCTGGAGAATGAGTGGGACAGGTGCTTGATGTTCTTGGAATGATGTTCCTCAACATTAGGACGCAACGGCTCCAGAGCTTTATTGACCAGGGAGCTGATTTTCTTCACAACGCTGCTTGATTGTTTGACCTCATAGACCTGAAAAAAACAAAAGACAGACCTCAGTCCCTGCTACCCCTCAATCACTGTTGTCCTGTAGTCACTGTCATACCTCTATCAGATATCCATCTATCAGAGTCAAGGATGGCTACATGTACCTATCTCCAGCAGGTTTTGGGTAAAAAGCATTTTAAGGCGCATGCCTTTAGTTTCTGGTCAAAAACATCTCAACACTGTGGCTGAAACACTAGAACTTCAAACATATATACTACGTTCTAAATGTCACTGCCTGTGTATGCATCATAGCATGCACAAGCACGAGTCAGGGGCTATGACTAAAGGTAAAACCTTGACTCCAGAACCTTGAGGGTTCGAACCACCATGAAGAGAATGTGCATTTCAGTCAGTGCTATAAATGTCTGGAAGAAACTCAAAAAAGAGATAAAGCAATGTCCAAGCATGAGTCTGTTTTAAAAAAAAAAGGCTCAAACTGATATTTTTCAGCATGAACTGTGATGAGGAGGGGAAGGGGGTGGCACTTTGGGGCGAGAGGTCGGACCGGTGGGGGGAACAGGTGGAGGGACTGGTGTTGGGATGTGGCACTGATGATTGGGGGGGTGGGGAGTTGCAGTACTCTGAGTGCCGATGTAAAAAGGTGGTTCTTGCCCTAATGTGTTTGTTTAGGTATGTATATGTACGTTTACATGTATGTATGTATGTATGTATGTATATAGATGTGTGTGTGTGTATACATTGTATATATATGTTTAGTAATTAAAAACAAACAAAAATAGCCCAGCATGTTTGAGAAAAAGACTGAATGACTTTAGGAACCGGTTGAACGTACCTTCTTGGTGGGCATCTTTAGCTTCATTAATTCAGCCTCTCGACAGAGAACGCTCCACGGCGCGTGAATCTTTACGAAGCCTAGGCCGGGAATCATGGCCTGCCAGACACACACAATAGGAATTTCTATATGATACTGTTCTACATTCAGCACAAATAAATAAACATTCAATATAAACTGTATTAAAGAAATACCTTAGTTTATTTTTTTTTAAGAATGTTAAGATCCTTAACATTATTAAGATTATTATTTTAGCTTCTCTTTATAGCAATAAAGCTGCAAAAATCTGCTCCTGGTTTGAATTTTAACCGACAGACTTTACCTGTTGGAGTTTATTTAGAATAAAACATTAAAACCGGCTTAGATTGTTTCTGGCCAAATTCAGCATAATAACAGTGACTCAGCAAATACACCAGTGATGGCTGGAGGTGCCATAGATGCCAATTTTCATGAAGTTACAGCTAAATATTTCTATAGCTCATAACTGTGTCCCTCTGAACCTTAGGCTAAACAAAAACACTTGCAGGTCAGCAGGGGCTTTTTTTCAATAATGAATGTTTGCTGATCTCAAATTATTCTTTCCACATTCATGTGAATTTAAAAAAAAGTGAGAACAGCAGAGAGGATCATGGGGGCTCCTCTTCCCTCCATTAAAGACATTTCATCCCAGCGCTGCGTGTTCCGAGCCCGTGACATCATCAATGATCCCTCACCCCCCCATCATGGACTGTTCTCCCTGCTGCCCTCTGGGAAGAGGCTTCACAGCATTCAATGCAGGACCAGCATGACACTGATAACACCAAACCAAAACACTGCATACTGGCACCATAGATGTTAATGCTCTGAACTTCCATATCAATTCGTTTTTTTCTCCCACACTGTTTATATTTGATCACTGCTGCACTTTAAGAAAATGGAAATGTTCTGTAAAAACAGATTGTATAGAAAACGACAAAAAGTTGTCTAAATTTACAAAGAGAAATTATGAAATAATGAACAACATTGATAAAAAAATATGCAAGAGTTCAGTTTGACACAATTTATCAACATGATAAAAGTTTGATTTTATTTGCTACATTAACTTATATTTTTTAAAAACACTTTCTTACTTCAAATCAAATTCATGAAGAGATTGAAAGAAATATCAAAAAGAATTAAATAGAAAAGCAGAGATGGGCCGACTCTTTTTGATTTTTCTCTGTTTAGACTCACTGATAGAATACTGGATACAAAATAAAATAAATGTTGGACTGAATTGCCTAAATTGTCTAAAACAGGACTTTGTGATTTGTTGTTTGTTTTCCTTTGCTAAATGAAAAATTGTTGCGTAACAAATAACCACAGAATCTGAAAATGAAATGATCTAAATGTCTAGATAAGAAAATCATGTTTCTGTACAGATCTAGAGATAAACGCTTCTCTCTAAACCAAAATCTTTATGGCTAAATAATTTTATCAGTAAACCTAAAAGTTATCTGGCACCAAACCTGAAACCAGAACTAAATCCTCATTTTCCAAACTGAAACCAAGTGATTTTAGGAAAAGAATTTGATTGTTTTTGTTTTTCTGTGGTATCAGTTGCAATCCAGCGATGAAGCTGAAAGTAGAGGTAGAAAACAATCTGAAGATAAACTTAATAAAGCAAAAATAAATTCATTTATATGAGTAATATCAGTTATTTGTTGTATTTACAAACCTATTTTTTGTTTTGTTTTGTTTTTTCAAAATTCCCATTAAAGTCAATTCTTGGTTATCCAAACAGAAGAGCAGGAACTTTTGTTCTTGTATGAGAGCTAGAGGTTTTGGCATTTCTGCAGGATTCTAACCATCAACCATTGCAAAATGCACCCAGATCTAAATGAGAAATAAATATTTAATATCTGTTGTTTCGTGCAGCATGAGCATTAAAATCAGGCTGAATGTTTCTGTATTAGTTTTTCTATCCATGTGAAATGCAGCCATTAAACTTTTTAGAAATGAAAACATTGACTCACTTCCTCGTCTTTTTCCAGCTCCAGCCCCATGTCTTTCAGGTTTTTCTCAAACTCCTCCCTCCTGAAGGCTTTGTGATCCTCGTGGCTGTTAAACGTCTCTCCCAGAACGCCCATTTCCACATCAGCCACCGTGGATCCGGCTTGGACCTGCTTGTTGGGACTTGGGTTGCCGGAGACAGGATTCTCCGTCAGACTGTGGTCTGACTGTCGACTAGAACGGCCTCCACCTGACTTCCTCAGAGGATAAGTGAGAACGTAGTCAACGCGCCGCTGACCATCCTGGAAAAAAAGCCCATGATAGCAGCTGGTGCTTTCCTCCGGACTGAGGGCCTAAGATCAGCAAAGACAATAATGGAGAGGATTGAAGATTCAGAAAACCTCTGATAGAAAAGCAGCATTGTTCCTTACAGTTTAGAAACAAGAGGAAAACGTTGCTACTGTGCAGTGAAGTAGATCTGAAGACTGTAAAGAGCTCTGAGTAGTCAGTGCTTTAGCCAAAGGAGGGCTGATGAGCAGCCAGACAGTTTATTTCCATTTATTTAAATGTCTGGGTTACATGACGTACTTAGATGGACAGAAGCTGCTGTGTAGATCAGTTTGAACATCCCAGCTTTCTCACAGTATTTTGTTGAATCAACTAAGAGGATAATTGAATGAGTAAAACAAGCAGCGGGTTTATGTCATGGTTTTGGTTCTGCTTAAGTTTTATCTTTGAGTTTTCATTGATTTTGAGTTTTCTTATTTCCATTTTTGTGTTGTAGTTATTTTTGATTGTTTTTGAGTTCTTAGATATTTCTTGTTTGCCCTCTAGCATCATTCTTCTTCTCCCTAGCTCCCTTCTAGACTCCTCCGTCCACACCTGCTCCCAATCTACTGATTAGCCTGGTTTTTGTTTCTCTCTCCCATATATGCACCTCTGGCTGAGTCACTGCAGCTGGTTTGTCATCATTTCTTTGCCCCCTTGTTGTTAGAAATCCTGGTTTTCGGTATTTCTGTGCATTTTGTGGATATTTTTTGTGAAATTCTGCATCTGTTACCCTATTTTGTTATTAAATCTGCAAGTAACCACCATCAGCTTCAGTGTCTGCGTTTGGGTCCTGTCAAACCTCCACCCAACTGGACAGTTTGTAAGCAGTCAGTCGTAGCTCTGCTGCATTGCAGTAAGAAGGTCCTGGGTTTAATTCCCGGCCCTGGGTCTTTCTGCATGGAGTTTGCATGTTCTCCCTGTGCATGCATGGCTTCCCTCCTGGTTCCTCCCACAGTCCAAAAACATGACTGTTAAGTTGTCCTTAGGCGTGTGGAGATGGCGCTGTGTCTCTGTGCTGGACTGTGATGGACTGGCAACCTGTCCATCCCTGATGGATGGATGGATGGATGGATGGATGGATGGATGGATGGATGGATGGATGGATGGATGGATGGATGGATGGATGGATGAGTGGGTTGATGGATGGATGGATGGATGGATGGATGGATGGATGGATGGATGGATGGATGGATGGATGGATGGATGAGTGGGTTGATGGATGGATGGATGGATGGATGGATGGATGGATGGATGGATGGATGGATGGATGGATGGATGGATGGATGGATGGATGGATGGATGGATGGATGAGTGGATGGATGGATGGATGAGTGGGTTGATGGATGGATTGATGGATGGATGGATGGATGGATGGATGGATGGATGGATGGATGAGTGGGTTGATGGATGGGTTGATGGATGGATGGATGGATGGATGGATGAGTGGGTTGATGGATGGATTGATGGATGGATGGATGGATGGATGGATGGATGGATGGATGGATGAGTGGATGGATGGATGGATGGATGGATGAGTGGGTTGATGGATGGATTGATGGATGGATGGATGGATGGATGGATGAGTGGATGGATGGATGGATGGATGGATGGATGGTTGGATGGATGGATGGATGGATGGATGGATGAGTGGATGGATGATGGATGGATGAGTGGGTTGATGGACGGACGGATGGATGGATGGATGGATGGATGGATGGATGGTTGGATGGATGGATGGATGAGTGGATGGATGGATGGATGGATGGATGGATGAGTGGATGGATGGATGGATGGATGGATGAGTGGGTTGATGGATGGATTGATGGATGGATGGATGGATGGATGGATGAGTGGATGGATGGATGGATGGATGGATGGTTGGCTGGATGGATGGATGGATGGATGGATGGATGGATGGATGGATGGATGGATGGATGGATGATGGATGGATGAGTGGGTTGATGGACGGACGGATGGATGGATGGATGGATGGATGATGGATGGATGAGTGGGTTGATGGATGGATGGATGGATGGATGGATGATGGATGAATGAGTGGGTTGATGGACGGATGAATGGATGGATGGATGGATGGATGGATGGATGGATGGATGGATGGATGGATGATGGATGGATGGATGGATGGATGGATGGATGGATGGATGGATGGTTGGATGGATGGATGAGTGGGTTGATGGATGGATGGATGGATGGATGGATGGATGGATGGATGGATGGATGGATGGATGGAAGATGGAGGGTTTATTTTCAACCATTAATAAAATAAATTTAATAAATTTAGGGTTATTTAATAAGGGAATTATTTTTTTCCTACTCAATATTTTCACTATGTTCTTCATTTATAAGAATCTAACTTTGTAAAATATTTATTCAGCTCCAAACTAAATCTTTAGTTTATTGACAAAAAAATGTATTTGGAGCTAAATATATATTTGAAAAAAAATCTCTAAATTAAATATAGATAAAGATATATATATTTTTATTCTTATAAATAAAGAATTCTATAAATGAATGGATGACTTAGTGAAAAAAAAAGAAAAAAAAGAATCTCCTTATTTTTCTCTTAAACTACGCTAAATAACCATTAATATTGCTCCTAATTTCTGAATGCTTAACTTTACAAATGGCGCCCCCTACAAATAACCTACAGATATTCTACTCTTGATCTGGAGTCCGACCAAATAGTTGTTACCATAATTTAAATGATGCATTTTCTGGGATATGCTGGATTAAACATATAGTGGATGCAGATGAATGGTTTCCATAGTTTGGGCCGAAGTTTCATCCCAAATAAGTCAAGGTATCCATCACAGCTGCCATGGCCCTTCCTAGAAACCCTAGGATATATAGTTGGTAAATTAGGAGCTGTCATAACCTCTGGCTTTTGCTTTACGATTTCTAAATATAAATCTAGATCTGAAGATCAGTCACACATGAACGCTGCTGGGAGCACATCCACAGTGTTATGCATAGGAGCAAACTACATCCACCCCGATAGGTAGGGAGCTTTGATCATCTGTTAACTTCCTGCAGCCACAAACAGCAACACACCCTAACATCTTCTTTATTCATCTTCAGCCAAACTGAGCATTTCTTCATGTTATGTGATTTGGACAGCAGCTACGAGCTAAACAATGGGACCAGTAGGTTCACTAGAGTTTGGCAAGACAAACAACTTGCAGCAAGTTAAGTCTGCAGATAGTTGCAGCTTTATGTAAACAGGCCTTCTGCTCTCTAAGCCAAGATTAAAACATGTACAGTCTAACCTTCATTTAGACAGATTCAAGCCTAGATGCCAGCAGATGCTTGTGAATTCATCCAGATATCTTCCATCCATCCATCTTCTACCATTCAGGTAGAAGATGGATCTCATCTCCAGCAGGTTTTGCGTAAAAGTCAGAAACCTCCTGGACAGGTCGCCATAGAGTCACAGACAGTGTTGGGCACGTTACTTTAAAAAGAGTAATTAGTTACAGTTACTAGTTACTTCTCCCAAAAAGTAACTGAGTTAGTAACTGAGTTACTCCACAATAAAAGTAACTAGTTACTAGTAAAAGTAACTATTGCGTTACTTTTGCGTTTCTCGCCCCCGTAACCCTCAGCACCCAGCCCCCACCTTCTCGCAGTGTGTTTCAAAGCCAGCTGAATAGAGCGCACAACAAAGACAAGAACCTGCAGAGAGTTTAGCATTTATTGCAACTCAACGTAAATGACATCAGGGGGGAACGCTATCTGATGGGCCTATAAACCCCGTCTGACAGCGTTCCCCTACTTAACATGGGGGTAACGGTATCTGACGGGCCTATAAACCCTGTCAGATAGCATTCCCCTACTTAACATGGGGGTAACGGTATCTGATGGGCTTCTAAACCCCGTCAAATAGTGTTCCCCTCTTCTTAACATGGGGGGACAGTATCTGATGCGGTGTAAATATCATCAGGCTGCATTATCTCTACTCATGGGTGTCAAATCAAACAGAACAAACAACCATTTAGACACACACTCACACCTAAAGAGGATTTAGAGAAGCCAATTAACGTAACAGTCATGTTTTTGGACTTTGGAAGGAAGCCGGAGTACCAGGGGAGAATCCACACATGCTCAGGGAAACCATGCAAACTCCATGAAGAAAGATCCCAGGCTGGGTCCACCGCCATAAGACTGCTGAACTGTTGAGAAAACTCTAAATCATGTCACAGACTCTGCATCACACTGATAATACCAAACCAAAATATTGCACCATAGATATTAATGCTCTGAACTTCCAGATCAATGTGGTTTTTTTTTCGCCATGTTTTTTCTCCCTCACTGTTTGCATTTGATCACTGCTGCACTTTATGAATGGAAATGTCATGAAAGCTGTACTGAACAAAATTTCGTTTTGTATACACTCTATATACAAAATGACAATAAAACTTGTCTACGTCTAATTCCAAGTAATTGGAAGTGACAATGACAGTGAAGTGCGCGGAGCTTAGGGGGCGGCCTGGGATTTAGCAATTGACTGCATACCAAGGAGGTAATTCAACCATTTCATTCAGATGTTTTGGACAAAGGAAAAATCTAAAAGCTGCAGGATCCTGGAGTCTCCCATCCCTCAGTTAAAGTGTCTTTTATTTTATTTTTGTTTGTTAAATCCCCACTCACACAGCCATGAAGTCTCAGCCCTACAAGGACTCAGCATAATCAGCCACAGGATTTACAAGAATTAACTCGATTCATTCTCTGTAAACATCATGATCGCAAGATTTGCCACCTAAAGTCTCAACATTTGCCAAGATCTGAGAGATTTACTGAGATATTTCCAACCAGCTGACATTATAAACCCAACAGAAGCCTCAGAGACATCTGGTGTTTGAAAAAGTTTTCACACCTTGGATCTTTTCACAGCAAAGTAGAATGACAACGACGAAGCTTGAAAACCCAGGAAAGAATGGCATTAAATGCAAGTGAGTTATTCAGGGGGTTATGAGGAGCGGCTAGAGCAGAATGGATGCAGGGAAGCTGAGGGAGGAGGACCATTTGACACAGAAGGGTCTAGAATTAGAAAATAAACTAGTCAATAGGTGAAGCAAAAATAATACTGAGTATTATAGGACAAGAATGACTGAGAAAAACAGGGGCATGGGACAACAGACGAAACCAGCTAAAAACCATTGAGCTTAACTGGAGGGAAACGTAAGGAAACATTTGTGGAATAAATGAGGAGAAACAGTGTAGATAGCTGAGATGAATGAAGTAAATTAGCAGAATGCAGGAAAGGCTGACGGAGGAGACTTAAACTAGACAGAAATGGAACATTAAGCAAAACAAAAAGACAAAATAAACCTAAACAGAACACTAGAAATTAGTCAGAAATGAGACCTGAAGGAAATAACTAATGCAGTAAAACTGCTTAAGCATCAATAAACAACGGCAAAATGGTGAAAACAAAACCTGTGGCCAAACTCCAAATGAACTCCTTCTACTCACTCTGCATGCATTCTGGCTTAGCATGCACCAATTAGCAAAGAAGGACAACAAAATGTAGATTTACAAATTTAGTAAGTAATTAAGTAATTTCCCTCTGGGATTATTGAAGTATTTCTGATCCTGATTCTAAATCTGATTCTAGTACCTCAAAAGACTTGCAGCTTGTGGTCGGAAAATATCGATTTCTCTTATTTCATATATTGATATATGCTGTTTACTCACTATAAATGTTTTCCCTCAATCAGTTTCACCTGCAAGGCCACACAATTCACCTGCGTGAGGTTGTCAGTGATGTTGGTTAACCCTAACAGAAGTATCAGACATTTACAACCACCGTTAAAAATCGGGAAAGCATTTAAAGGGTACGAAAACTTTTGCAAAGCATTGGATGAGGCAAAGCCAAGAATATATTTAAATTAACTAAAGGACAGGTTAAAACCAAACCTGTCATCTAACTGGTTTCTGGAGGGACCAGAGAAACCATAAAGCTTTTCTTTCCAATTGTTTGGTCTTTGCTGCCATCTAGTGGACATTCTTGATATTCCTTTACTTGGTGTCTCAGTAACGCAGACATTGTAGGGAATTTCTAAACTCAATGGACCAAAGAAAAGCAGCCTGTTGAACTCATTTAACAGCTCCTTTAAGAAACCACAGACACCTTTAGGATTTAGGTTTTTATATTCAGTCGGGAAACAAATAATTTTAGAAACAGTTCAATCTCCACACTGTATTGTTATTATAAATTAAAGGGAATGCAGCCCACTCATTTGCTAATGTTTCTGAGACCTAGATTACAGCTTCAGACTGTAATCTAGGTCATTTAGATTTGTGTGAGAAGAAGTGTGCGTTGGCTACAGGTATTGGCTCTCAGTGGAAAGGAAACTCTGTGGGGAATAATGAATACTGTCATTACCTGGAATTAAGAGGCAGTTCACTTCACAAAACTGAATTCTAAATAAGTACAGTTCTAGATTTTTTTTCTTGAATTGAGGAGGTAAGTGAGACACAATTTACATTTAAAATAAGAAAAAATAAACAATTGAATTGTCTTATTCCAGGTTATTATCTAATTATCTTGTTTTAAATCATGTATTTTAAATAATCTTACTTACCAACTGAAATTAAGGGGAAAATACACTTAATTTAAGAAAACTTATTTCTAGATCGTTTTTGCAGTGTGTTTGATATCTACCACAACAATAAAAACAGACCAAATAGCTTAAAGGCGAAGTTGCTTAGAAGAAACAATCTTCTTCATTATTTTTTTATATTTAACCAAAACAGGACGCAACATCAGTGCTTCATTTGGATTTAGATTCATAAAGCTAAGAAATACAGAATCAGTAAAATAACAAAAAGCAAAATGTTAATCTATCTTTTAATGTAGTTTCAAAACAAATTAAATGATTGTTAAACTTTCTAAAGACAACAGATGATATCCTGTCAAACTGCCCAAGTCAGACAGATACAGGATGCTTTTTTTGTTTGTTTTTTTACATTAATTTTTTTTTTCTGTGCATGTTCTTGGTATTTAAAATGATACTCACCCTAAACTTTCCATGAAAGATGACATCTCTTAAAAAATGTTGCCTAGACCCAGAGACTGAAGGCTGCTGAACTTCTGCGTTTGGTTCCTCTGTCATAGTTAAGGCAGAACAGAGACATAAACCCAGCAGAGAAGGAGTCTCAGATCAAATAGTCTATGTTGTTCTCGGTGGATCTCTGTGTGTCAAATCTCCAGTTACTGGACGGTGCATGAATAAAGCCTGTGCTGCCTCTGCCTTTTCTCTGATCCGCAGCTTCTCCGAGCTTGTATCCCTGCAGCTTTCCGTGTGGCTGTGTTTCCATCTGGAATGTGGAGTCACAGTCGTGAGCCTCCAGCCTTGTTACTTGAGACACCGTCTGTCAGCCAAGATCTAAACTTAGACAACGATAAACCTCCGAACAGAAAGTTCCCTCCCTCAATCTGTCTGCATTCGCTTAGTTCTAATAATCAAACTATCGAACACTTCAGTTCAACGCTGACTTCCTTTATTCTGTGACCATCATCGGCTGCAGGCAGCATAAATCGGGAAGGAATTCCACCAAAAACTCAAAATTACTGTACTTCTAAAAAAAAAAAAACTGTTCATCCTAAGAAAACAAAAGTACAAATCTAATTACTAGGAATGAATTTTAACCCCATTAAGAAATCTATTAAGGTGCAGGTTCATTGTTTCTGTTTTAATGGTGTTATTGCACCTCATAAAGGACTGCATAAAGGTGTTCAAGGATGACTCTTTTTTCAATAGATCTGTTGAATAAGCTTGAAGTTTTTCTTTATTATTTGAAGTTTTTATGACAGCAGCAATCAGTTTCTGCAACATATGCACATCTAAGTTTGCAGAGCAGACATTTGCTTTTCTGATCAAAGCATTCAGTTTGCTTATATTTTAAATGACACTTTGTGCATGCATGCAGGAGAAAAGTTGCAGAGATGAACAGATAAAAAGCACAATCTCAGACCATCAGTAGAGGAAAAAACGGTGTGCTTCACTGCTGGATTATCAGAAATAGGACTAAACAATTCAAATGGAACCATGAATTTCTCCATTGTCAGATCAATAACGTTATATTCTATTCATTTATTACCTCATAGAGAGCAAGCAGTGAATAGCCTCTTTATCTGGAATATAACTGAAACCTTTGACCACGTTCTAGATAGAATAAAATAGGGTGCATTGATGGGAGGGTACATTTGTAGGCTTATTGTGGTTATTAAATGGTAACATCATAAAAGGAATGCTTAATAAATGAAGTAAGGTTATTCCTGTATCCTATTATTTAAACTTTGTTAAACTTTTCAGATCACAAAAATCAAAACAGAAGAAAACTGTAAGGAGGAAAGTACCTTTCACATTTATGTTTGCTTAAAGCTCTTAATTTGAAGAAGAAAGGAAAGTTATTTGTCTCCTATAGATTTCTTTGAGACAATTCTCTGATAAAAGCTGCTAATCTTTAAAAAAGCCTCGACCTTTGTTAAATCATCTGTATGGGATCATTTTTGGTCCTTCATGGACTGAGTCATCAAGTAACAAAGTCCAAATACTTTGTTACCTTAACTAGAAATATTGGTTATCTACAGTATACTTTACTGCAGTAATTATTTTGTAAACAACTTTTTACTTTGTACTCCTTACTAATCTTACTTTAGTTTTGTTTTATTAAAGCTCATTTTCATTATGGCCTGTTGGTATTTAAAAAAAATAAAATAATTAGTTTTATCCAGACAATTAATTACATTGTGGTTGGACTCGGTGCTGCCCCAACTTGTTGCTCACCACAAACCAAAATAAATAGTTTATCAAGATGATGAAAAGTTAAATGTGACACTGTTACCATTAGTTACAAAACTAAGAAAATTACGTTTAATGAAGTTATCATCCAGAATTGTAGAAAAATGTTCCTTTAAGGGAACTTAACGGTTTTTACTGCATTACTTTGACTTTTATCCTTTAAGTAGTTTTAAAAATTTTATTTTTATACTTTTACTGGAGTAAAAAGCTGCAGTTGATTCTCTAACTTCTATAAAAGTGTTTTTAAACAGCAGGATTTATAGTGGAGGAATAAACATGAATACTTTGGACATCTCTGATTATGGGGAAAGAAAAGCAGGTGACATAGAAGAAGTAGGGGATCTATAAGCACTGGAAGAATAACGATTTAAGAAAAACCGTTAGGAGGTTAGGAGCAGGAGGGAGGGTCTGCAGCATAGCTTTTATAGAGCTTTGTCACAGATGTTTCTTTTTTAAGGTGTCTATAGTAAATCTGAATTAAATTTTAAAATCTAAAATACTGAGACATTTAACCAAATCGAGGTCAGTTTGCTGGGAATAGATTTTTTTATATATATTTTTAGATTCATTAAGGTTTCCTTTTATTTTGAAAAAAAAAAAGACATTTTAATGAAAGCATTTCCAATGAGGGGAAAACATGGAAAGTTCCCTTTTTTAGTGCACAAGTGGCTTTGATTAAAAAAACAGAGAGGAAATGGGTTGGAGAGAGAGCGGGAGGAAACGCAGCAAAGATCTTTGGTTTGGGATTAGAATACAGCAGAGCTGTACCAGAGGGAACAATCTCTAAATACAGATTATTATGCATAATGAAACATGCATGTGATGCAAGAATCTCTATAACTGTTAATACAAAGGTTAAGATTTATGTAAATTTATCACATGACAGCTTCACATTTTCACCTCCACCTTTTTTTTTTAACATAAAACTTTTAGATAAACCTTAGCTTCAGTAGGGAGGCCCAGACGTCCCTCTCACTAACCACTTGGGCCAGCTCCTCCGGGGGAATCCCAAGGCGTTCCCAGGCCAGCAGAGACACATAGTCCCTCCAGTGCGTCCTGGGTCTCCCCCTGGGCCTCCTCCCAGTGGGACATGCCTGCAGCACCTCACCAGGGATACGTCCAGGAGGCATCCTAACCAGATCCCCAAGCCACCTCAACTTGCTCCTCTCGATGTGGAGGAGCAGCGGCTCTACTCTGAGTCCTCCCCGGATGACTGAGCTTCTCACCCTATCTCTAAGGGAGAGCCCAGACACACCACGGAGAAAACTCATTTCAGCCGCTTGTATCCGGGATGTCATTCTTTCGGTCATGACCCAAAGCTCATGACCATAGATGAGGGTAGGAACATAGATCAATTGGTAAATCGAGAGATTTGCTTTTTGGCTCAGCTCTCTCTTCACCACAACAGACCAGCACAGGGCCCATTTCACACAGACACCGCACCAATCCACCTATCAAACTCCCGCTCCATCTTCCCCTCATTCTTCAACAAGACCACAAGATACTTAAACTCCTCCACTAGGGGCAGTACATCCTCCCCAACCTGGAGAAGGTACTCTACCCTTTTTCGGCTCAAGACCATGGTCTCGGATTTGGAGGCACTGATCCTTATCCTGGCCTCTTCACACTCGGCTGCGAACCGCTCCAGTGAGAGCTGTAGATCATGCCCTGATGAAGCCAGCAGGACCACATTATCTGTGAATAACAGAGATGCAATCCTAAGGCCACCAAGACAGATCTCCTCAACACCTTGGCTGCGCCTAGAAATTCTGCCCATAACAGAATCTGTAACAAAGGGCAACCTTGGCGGAGTCCAAACCTCACCGGAAACAAGTCCGACTTACTGCCGGCAATGTGGACCAGGCTCTGACAGCGGTCATACAGAGACCTAACAGCCCCTATTAAAGGGCCATACTCCCGGAGTACCCCCCACAGTACCCCCCGAGGGACACGGTCGAATGCCTTCTCCAGATCTACAAAACACATGTAGACTGGTTGGGCAAACTCCCATGCAACCTCGAAGGATCCTACTGAGGGTGTAGAGCTGATCCAGTGTTCCACGGCCAGGACGAAAATTTCACTGCTTCTCCTGAATCCATGATTCAACTATCCAACGGACCCTTCTTTCCAGAACCCCGGAGTAGACGTTACCATGTAAAGTTTATTTCGATTTTTTTTGTTAAAATGATCTGAAAAGACAAATACATTCGAATTTGTTATCCAATAAAATAACATAAATCTTCCATAGAAGGTGAAAAAAGGAAAAACTAAAAAGTAAAGTAAAAGTACTAGAACGAGTCGCAGAGAGCTGCAGTGCTTGTATTTTGGCCAAAGGTGGCAGTATCATTAGAAAATTCAGTAATGCCTATTTTTTCAGTATTAGTGGATACTTGTAGTGGACCCAAATGCAGAGCTGAAGAAGCAGAGGTTATTTCAATGCTCCAGCATTGCGGTGGCTGGGGGACTTCCTCTGGGCCTTCTGTCCTCCTCCCTTGGTGGGGGTCGGATTTCCTGGGCTGGCCCCTCCTTGGTGCCTTCGCTCTTGGGGTCCCTTTGGGCGTCTGGGGCTTTGGGTCTCCCGGCGCTGGACTCAGTGCTTTGGGGGGGGCGCCTCTTCGGCTCTTCACAACCACTATTGAACATATTTTCTTTGGATAAACTTTACATGCACAAGTGCACTTTCAGAAACAACTACAGCTGCTTGGTTCCAGGTACTCAGAGATTCACTTCCATACAGAAAGCCCATTCTTATCTTCAGGTAACACAGAGTACATGTCAGATTAAATACTTTCAGCGATAGTATCTAGGAGTTACTTTATTGTATGTCTCTACCATGATTGTGCTGTTCGTTTTACATCTCTTTTCAGGTGATGAAGCAGACTGAAAATGTTTTATCATTATCCCCCTTTTATCTCCTCTTTCTTTCATCTTCTCTCCTTTTTTTCAGTTTTTCCTTTCCTGTTCTACTTAAATTGCAGTGTCCATATAATCTGTAAAACTCCCTGCATAATTATAATAAAGCTATTTATATGCATAAATGAAGCGGAACGCTATGGCGATACCTGTACTGCTCCACTTGTGAAAGTAAAATCTCTTTTTGGCATCAAGACAATTATTCTTATCGCCACGCAGGATACTGTAAAAACTAAAAAAAAATTTTATAATAAAACAAGAAAACCTGTATAAATTGTGTAAATTTGTGTAAATTTAATTCAGTTCAATTCCGTTCATTTCTATAGCGATCAATCCCTCACACTAAGCATGCTTGTAGCGACAGTGGAGAGGAAAACTCCCTTTGAACAGGAAGAAACCTCCAGCAGAACCAGGCTCAGTGTGAGCATCCATCTGCTGAGGCCCACTGGGGTTCAAGGAGACAGAAGCAGACATAGAAAAAGAAGCATAGATACAAAAGGCATCTGTCAACCAAATCCAGAGGCGGCCCCATCCAGGAAACACACAGCTAGGCAGACGAGCTCCGAGCCAGCTCCCATGTCAGAGGATGAAGAGAGCACATCCAGTTAGTCACAGTCAGAGAAACAGGACTACACTGGAAAACAGG